TGGTGAGCGTTTTCTTATTCGGCGTTTCGGCATTGGGCGGAAGGGGGGGAGGAGGGGGGGGGGGTCTGGCTCCGGACCTCTGCTTGGTGCGGCTGTTTGCAGCAGTGCGTCCTGAGACCCCACCTGCTCGAAACAGGAAACCAAAACAGCCAAGATCTACTCCATGGGGGGGGAGGGGGGGGTGCGAGGGCCCGCGCCGATCGGCACAAGAACGAATAAGAAAACGATCACCTGGTGTGGTGGCCTTGTTTCGGCGTCTTGGCTGTGATCCTGTACAGTAGACCTGTATAGCAAGGATGCGCGGTAAGGATGCGAGGGTCTCAGAGGGCCTTGTTAGAGCGTTCTACGAACGAGGTTGGCCAACGAGCGTCGCTAAGGATGGGCTGAAGGGGCAAGAGTGCAAGGGTCACCTTGGACAGTCGCTCACCCTTACTGTGCGGGTTGACTGCAGGTTGGATTTCTTAAACAGAAGCTCGCTGGTGCTTAGACTTTGAGCTGAGAGGAGGCTGCCCGCAGCCAGCTCAGCCCCAGCAGGAGGTACCCGAGGCCCCGGCGTTGATCGGACCCGGGAAGGCAGGCTTCGTAGACGGTGGCAGGGCTTCGGCACCGCCACGGCCCCGCCATCGCCCCTCGCCAGAGCCAGACACGTTGCAGGGTCCGACCGTCCCAGCACTCCTATAGGCCACCAGGGCATGCGCCTACAACAAAACAGTATCGTTCTCACTTTGAGCACGGACCGATCGTCCCGGCATGCCAATAGGCCTACCACAGCATGTTCTTGGAACCCAGAACTGCTCGAAGCACCGAAGTGATGTTCTTAGAGCATAAACCGATGTGGAAACAAGAGAAAGTCCGAGCCAAACATGTTATAAGAACATGTCGTGGAAACCACAAAGGGTTCTTAGAACATTGTTCGGTCAGCCTATAGGCACGCCAGGACGCTTCGCCACTGCTTTATCATCACGCGAGCAAGGTTCTTCGAACATGAAGCCGATGGCTTCAAACAGCACTGCCTCAGCCAAGGGTATTCTAAAAGCATTTCGGGCAAACCACAAAGGTTATCGTGAGGTTACCCATCGGTCGGACTAAGTAGATAGAAGCCTAAAGTATGAAGGCGCTGAAAATAGATTGTGTGTCCGCACGCCCCCAGAAGAGGACGGAAAAGGCGAAGCCACTTGATCATTGAAGTAGGAAGGCGCTCAAAGTAGATTGGAATCTGGGAGGAGGAAGGAGGAGGAAGAGGAGGAGGAGGAGGAGGAGGAGGAGGAGGAGGAGGAGGAGGAGGAGGAGGAGGGAGGAGGAGGAGGAGGAGGAGGAGGAGAGGAGAAGAGGAGGGACGAGGAGGAGGAGGAGGAGGAGGAGGAGAGGAGGAAGGAGGGTAGGAGGAGGAGGGAGAGAGGAGGAGGAGGAGGAGGGAGGAGGAGGAGGAGGCGGAGGAGGAGGCATGTCGGCACGCCTCTCCTCTGCCTCAACCAGCGTGGATCCGACGGCAACAACGATCCGTGGCGGTGGCCGGCGTGGCCCGGGAGGGCCACGCCGAAAGGCCGCGGCTCGGGGATCCGGCGAGGACGGAAGGAGGAGGCACGATGAGCAGGAGGAGGAGGAAGAGGAGGAGGAGGATCAGGAGGAGGAGGAGGAAGAGGAGAAGGGAACCAGGATTGGCAGGAATCCGATGAGAGCAGCTTCCCTGTCAGCAGCGGGAATCGGAAGTTCAAAGATGGGGTCCCGAGAGATGGGGCCCTAAGGACGAGGTGCTTTGAACAACGTAGATCCACCCTTTGATTTATATTGCTCCCATCGTACTTAAGGACCACAGCCCAGAAATGATTTCGAGCACGCCGAAAAGTATCGAAACAGTGTCGAACGAGTATGGCCTCCCAGGGCCCGACACGCAAAAGCCCTCTGGGTTGGATACTTTCTCGGTGCTCGAAATTCGCGTTGGCGAGCAAGGCTAAGGTAAGCTGGAACATCATAACCTTGGATCCCTTCCTGCCCTGTCCTCTGGACCCCACCCCTCGGGACCCCGGCTTTGAAGCTCCGAGGGAGCGCACGCCCACGCGTTCGCACAGCCGGCGGGCCGCCCTGGGTTCTGGGCGTACTCGAACCGCTGGAACAGAGGAGGAGGGAGGGAGGAGGCCTCGGCCGCAGAGTTCGGTCGGGCACGTCCTCCTGCAGGCGGATGTTGCACGGCAGAAAAACACATGCTAGAAACTGGCCCCCAACATATTGGGGAAATAATCCAAACATCGTCCCCTGACTGGTTGTTCTGACTATCTCTGACTACTCCTCCCGTAGAGGGACCCGCCCGACTCAAGAGGAAGCAGGGGGGAGGCCTCAGCCGTAGAGGGTCTGCGCCGTGAAGTGTGCGCAGGCGGCCTCAGGCACCACAGGAGAAGGTGACGACGTAGACGAGACGCGCTTACAGTGGAGGCCAATACGCAGTGGAGGCCAATACGTTTAAAAGGGTTCTTATTTTTCTTTCAAATCATTGGCGCCGATGTTTGAGCACGCACAGCTAGCCTTCGACACTGTAGCTCATCACAGGTACTGCCAACTCGGAGCGATGTCCCTGCTTCATCGCGGGCCGAAAAAGAACCCACCAAAGTGGTGGTATCGCAGCCGACGGGCTCGGATGAGGCCCCAGCCTGAGACCCACTACCTCCGACGTGTGTAGAGATCGAGGGGATCAAAAGGATCAAAAGGAGATCAAGCTAGTTTTAAAAAGTTGTTTGAAAAAACTGGTTTGAAAAAATGAAAAGATGCCCGAAGTAGTCTTAAAGTGTTCAACGTGAAGCACTCTCGAAGTAGTCTTTAAAAACTCCAAGGTACTTCAAACTACTCATGGTAGTCTCAAAAGAAACTCACAGATAATCCAAACATGCTCCAAACGTAGTATAGCAAATACTCAAATCATCGTCTCCCCAGACTTACAAAAAATGTCGGGAGGACATTCCTCCCGTAGAGCGACATGCCCGACTTAAAACTGGAACGCGTCACGGGTAGAGCTTTTGGTTGGATGCGTCTTGGGCTGGCGCTCTTGATCATAAGCAGCAGCACCAGTCCGGAGTGGAACATTGACAGACTCGACAGCCAATGCCAGTCAGGGGACGGCGGGCCAACAAGGGACAGGGAACTAAGCCAGACCACAGTGGTAAAACTCCCCTCTGTACCGGCTGGAACAACTGGCGGGTGCCAGAGCCCCTGACACACAGACTACAGTGGAGGCCAATCCGCAGGAAACGTGTGACGTGCGGCAGCAGTGCTGAAAAGAGCGCAGAACAGGCGAGAGAAGCTGGGTAAACATCGGGGAGACGTAAGACTCGGGTTCGGGGGGACTCGGGTTGACCTGACGGGGCCATCAAGAGATGACGAGACCCCAATCTTAGATTTGACGCGAGCTCCCGCCGCAAACATCCCACTAAGACTGAATCGTCAAAATCCAGGGCGCGATCGTCAAACAGCGTCGACAAACCCGAGTTCCGGCGTACTCGAGTCTTGCGTCTTCACGAAAGTAGAGCCAAGATCCAGAGTAAGCACCGTGTCGCCCTCCATCTGACGTTGCGCAGACATAGATTGGAGATCGTTGCGTTCTATGTAATCCTCCTCCTACTCCTCATCATTCATTCGCCCCCACGCGGGCCGAAGGCCCTCCAAGGCCACCACCCTTGCACCCGGAGATCTCCCCGATCACCCCTCGCCGTCGCTCGGACGTCCATTCCCCGTGCATGTTCCGATGTCGTGCGTGTATTGTTTCGCAAGATGCTCCAAGGTGCTCCTTGATGGTTCTCGCGGAGAAAACACGTCGGAGCAATGCCAACCAAGACCCTGGTTGCCCGACTTGTTTCACTACATGTGTCTCTTCGTCCCTCTCCCCGTCAACTATCACGGGGCAGGGCTTCAGAATGGGCTGGTGGGGCTTCGCGAAGCGAGAAGAATCTCCACATCTCTTGCCGCGCTTGTGGTTGTACATGGCTGGGTCAGGCTGACTTTCTGCTTTCTCCTCCACCCGCCTCCCCCGCCACTCTCGTCTCCCGACTCCCCCTCGCCCTCCACTCCGCCGCCTCCCCCTCACCCGCCCTCTCCTGCTTCTCCTGAACATTGGGGGTCGCGACCCAACGACGATGTCGTAGGTGAAGTGGGCGCAGCCGGTGGTGTTCGCACAGAACTCCGACCCGGCGACGGTCGTGGGGGGTGGGGAAGGAGCTGCGGGAGCGGCCGAGGGAGTGGATGCTGAACTTTCCCTCCGGCTGCCCTTCTCGCGCGGTTCACTGCACGCGCGCACTACAAATACCGCAACCTCGTTCTGCCCCAGAGGAGGGCCGGGAGAACCAGAAACCCTTCGGGATAACAAGCATGAGAACACCGACCCGAATCAAACGTGACCTATCTACGGAAACGCAACAGCGTTGACGAAAGAAAGCGGTTAATCCATGTTGGCGTCGCAAGCTGATGCCGGGACTCGTCCCCCCTCAACGAGAGAGTGAGAGAAGAAAAAAAAGAGAAAGAGAGAGAGAGTGAATGAGAGAGACTGTATACAGTAGAAGGGAGAGAGAGAGAGAGAGAGAAAAAGAGAGAAAGAGAAACAACAGAAAGAGAGAGAGAGAGAACAAAAAAAACAACAACAAACATTAAACACACCGATACATAGTAAGACAGAAGCCTGCATTCTACAACTGATCATCCAGTACAGGCACCTCGAGCTAGAGCAATCCCCTGCCCTCGCAAGCCCCAGCGTAATGTGTGCTTTGCCCAGACCGAGCATTCCCCCGTGTGCTCTTGAATGCGAAGAGAGCAGCAGAACTAATTCCAACACGCAATCCGAACATAATCATCCTCATTATCACTCGCGCTCCCAGACCAAATTCAACATCAAACACCCTCGCTCGGAATCAGATACACCGAGGCCCCGATTGATCGTTTGGGATCCCGTCGGCGTGAAAGATTCGGCCGGTTTGGACGGGGGGGTCAAAAGGGCTGGCGGCCTCATCTGCTCATAAATGCTCCAATCCCCCTCCCCTCCCCGACGGCCCAAGATGGCTTCCACGTCGCCTCAAGTATCCCCAACACGTGTCAAGACGGCTTCCAGACGTTCCAAGAGGCCCCCAAGACGCCCCGAAAGCGCTCAAATTAGGAGCCCCAACAGGACCCAAAGATCAAAAAGCGCCCCAATCACGTAATATCCCACAGAAATGCGTGCTTGCTTAGCAGATTTGCCTTCTCGGCCCTCTCAGCCTTCAAGGAGGCCATGAGAACCGCCCCTAGACGGCCAGCAAGGCTTCCCAGGGGGGCCCAAGACGGCCCCAAGATGCCCCAAGACGGCCCAGATGCGCCCACGACGGCCTGAGAGGATCCCAAGGGAGCCCAAACAATATTGTTCACCATACCCAGAGGATACAGGGGTGGGTCCCTCCCAGGTGCCATGCAACATTAGCCTGATGCCACCTCAAACCCACGCCGGATCCGCCTCGCGGAAGAGCAGGCGCTCCTCTTCCGGCCCAAACAGGGGCCCAAGAGGGGGAGCTCGAGCTGCTATTGCGAGCCATGCGCCGACAAAGGGCACCCGCAACCGCCAGCAGGCCCCCAAGAAAGCCCCCACGGGGCCAAAGAGCCCCCCGAGAAACCCCAAAGAGGCCTCCAAACGGCTTCAGCATTACCAGCAGGGCCCCTTTTGACTACCCATCGTTCGGAAAGAAGTAAGTCGAAACATGAAGTAGGAAGGCATTGAAACAGGGTTGGGTTCCGTCCGCCCCTTAAGGAGGACGGAAAGCGTAACGCCACTCGATCATTGAAGTAGATTGGAATCTGGGACTCCAAAACTACCTACTTTCAACGACCGAGGAGTACGGCGTTGGGGCTTCGCAGTGCCAGAAGGATTCTACGACAACGCCCACGGGAAGAGTGGCATCCGGGGCGCCCAAGGCGTCGGCGATGCTGCGTAAGCCAATGAAGCACGAAACGAAGGAAGAAGGAGGACAAATGACACTGACTACTAGCAGCAGCACTAGTACGAATGGAAGCAAAACAAATACGCAGGAGGAGCAGACGAGGACGGAAGAAGGGGGGTGCGGGAAAGGGCCGGGGACACGCAGGGGTAGGATGAGGAAGCGGAAGAGGACGAGCACGAGTCTCCCGATCCCTCGCCATGGAGAGGCGCCAGCCCGCGCGCCTTCATGCACGCGATGACATACTCTCTGTGCTCGGCCACCGAGGCCGCGCGGGGGAAATACCTCGGCGGCGGGCGGGCGAAGTCCGAGGGATGCCAGCCACCCCCTGCCCGACTCGCCTGCCGGGGCCCGCCCGACCCCCCCCCCCGTCGGGGTCCGCCCGCCCCGCCCTTCCCACACGACCGTCGGGGCCCGCACGCTCGCTCGCTGGACAGCCCGCCCGCCAGCGATCAGCGTCAAATTGGGACCACGACCAGGACAGCATCGGACCGGGACGCATCGGGGATCCGTGAGATCCGGCGGCTCTGGACGTTGGCCGCTCCAGAGCGCTCTGAGCCCTCGGAGGGCGTTCGGAAAGGCTCTGGAGCAACTGATCCCAGGCCCTACAATCGAAATCTATGATGAGGACAGGGGGTAAGGACGCAAGGACCATGGACGCCGAAGTCTGCACTTTTTGGGGGGCGGACTGCCAACACCCTGACGCGCTGGCCAATTAAAGCCGCGAAGGACGGGCCGCAGACGCAAGAACGCAAGGGTACCCTGAGGAGATCCGTGCGTCGTTACTATGAGTTCTGATGGTAGCCTCGCCCGAAATGTCCCGCCCGAGCCGCCCGCGAGGGTACCCCCGCCAGCTTTTTGCTCCGACGACGTCCGTCTGGCCAGATGGAGCTCTCTGGGGCGCCCTGGAGTACAGGAACCACTGACCCTCCAGCGCCTCGCTCTTTGGATGGGCGGCGATTGGAGTCGGGATCGACTTCAGGATTGGTCTACCCCAGACCTGTTTTCCCGCCGAATTTATGACAACGGAATATACTGCCCCTCAGAGCCACGGAGGCTTCTATGTATTTGCTTGACAGAGTCGGCGGACAAATCAAGTATAGGGAAGATCAATTCTGTAGTCGATCCCTTACGCCAGGGGGAAACTGGCCCATGGGGGGGAATCATCGCGAGTCGGCGGCTCATCACTGATAGATCGGGCATGGGCCCCCAATAGCGAAACCGAGCGTTGCTTGACCGGTTGGGCTATCAGGCCCTTATCGGCGATGGATGGGCGATTCGGTGTCGATGCGATGCCCCTTGAGCCTATTCACCCGTAACGTTGCCCTTGGCACCCCAGGAACGCTCCCGACGAGGCGATGCTACTGGAAAGCACGTGAGCAACCATCAAAAACGGGTATTACCCGAGATGACGTAGCGACCTTGCGCCGCAGCTTACGCGGGCCGCCAGCGCGGCACGTTACATTGGGAACCAGGACGCTCACGCGCGAGCTTACGCGGGCCGCTCACGCGCCAATGTCGGCGCAGACGACCCCGTTTGGTCTTGCTTCGCTCACTTGAGACCCAGAACGCGTCAGCACCACTGCCGAACTCGCCCTTGGACCTGTCCCCCCCAGCGATACCCCCCGAGATTCGGCCCCGCAGGCCCCTCCCACCGCCGCCTCCGAGGCGAGAGGCACGACGGGCACGGAGGGAGCGCCTGGCGACCCAGGGGCCGGACTCCCGACGCCCGCCAGGAGTGCGAGCAGGGCGGGCGCGGAGGAGGCGGGAGGTAGGCTCGGGCCGGGCGACAGGGGGGGATAGCAAAGGGGGCGTTTGAGAATCAGCTAACGTAGCTGATTTTCCCGGCGCCTCCCCGCGCTCCAGTGACGAGGGCTCGCACAACCGCCTTCGCTTTGCCCGTACAGCTAAGCCCCATGTCTTCGACATACGCGTCGAAATCCAAACCGGGCGCCTGGGGAACGGAATCGAAACTGTCCACGGCAAGGACACGGCTAAACTGGTTGCGAAGGAGCACCCAGCAACCAGGCCCTCGAGGGCGAAATTCGGACCCAGGGCGAACAGCACCGAAGGAAATGTACCGAGGGCACGGAATAAAGCTGAACAGAAGTCTGGCAATGGCAAGAGGGAAGTCATGCTGATGGCCCTTGCCATTGAGATACCTTAGGTCGACGTGCTCAAAGCACTTTCTGGGATCCCCGAAGATCGAGGCCGACACTTCGTCACGACTGGAGCCAGACTCGGCCCTGCAGATTTGTCTCCAAATCCCGTCCGTGGTCCCCCTGTCGGCCCCCGCCGCCCAAGCCTCCCAAAGCTGTGCGTACACACGTCGGGCCCGACCCCACAGACGGTACCGGCTCAGCAAGACCCCTATGGGCCTGGAGCGGCCCGAAGGGCTTGTCCGAGAAAGACATCAAAGCCTGAGAGATCTGAGGCGGCAGGGACCCCGTGACCTCCGCGACAAGAAGCCAGAGGGCGAGGCAGTGGAAGGCCTCGTTACACGAGAGAGAGGCGTGCCTCGAGTGAACGCAGCCCACGCTGACAGCACTAGCGTACCGACACTTCGTCGACAAAGAATGCAACTCAGAGGACTCAAGCAACAGGAAGAAAGGAGGCAAGAGGCTCGTCGTCAACTCCCTGCCCGTCACCTTCCCCCCAAGTGGACACACATTTATCAGCTGCAACCCCCAAGAGGGCCACCGGGTCAGCCACAATAAGACCTCCCGCCGTGAGGGTGGTCGTGGAGGACCAGGGCTCGGGGTCCCTAGTAGCTCTCTGGGCATTCCTGCTACCTTTGTTGAACCCTTCCCTCATCCAATATGAAGCCTTCGACTTCGCCAAAGCAGCCGCCTTAGCTTTCCTAGAAACTCAGCGATCTCAAACCCGAGGCTTGGCGACTCTTCGAGCTCGGGATCGTCCAACGACGTCGCGAGCGGTCCTGACCAAATAGATTCGAGATTGGATCCAAAGCAAGGTGGGGAACAGATTGAGGCATTGCGGGCAGCTAAGCCAGCGCTAGCCTGAAAGAAGTGGCGCCACTCCGAATCGGCCTGTACAACGACTTCTTCGGGCACTTGACCGAGATCACGGGCGACCACAACACCAGCAGGTGGGAGCACCGCTCAACCACACGGAAGATAGCTCATGAGCGCCCTCAACTGGGCTGCAAGCAACATGATGGACCTGAGGTGGAGGTCCTTCTCTACACCAGCAACTCTCAAAACCGATTTCCAGGCCAAATAAGAACACTTCCCTTCCAACCCAACCCTTATCCTCCCTGCTCCTCCCCTCTCCTGTTCCTCCCCCCCTCCTTCCCGCCCCCCTTCCTTCTACTCCCCCTCCTCCCGACCGCCTTCCATCTCGTTCTACTTCCGCCCCTCGTCCTCCTGATCTCCCTCACCCCTCCTTCTCCTCCTCCTCCTCCTCCTGCTCCTCCTCCTCCTTCTCCTCCTCCCCCTCCTCATCCTCCTCCTCCTCCTCCTCCCCCTCCTCCTCCTCCTCCTTCTCCTCCTCCTACTCCTCCTCTTCCTCCTCCTCGTCCTCGTCCTCCCCCTCCTCGTCCTCGTCCTCCTCCTCGTGCTCCTCCTCCTGCTCATACTCCTCCTCATCCTCCTCATCCTCCTCCTCATTCTCCTCCCCCTCCTCGCCTGTCCTCCCTGCTCCTCGTCCTCTCTCCTCCTTCTCCCCCTCCCTGGCTGCCGTGGGGCGCGCCCGCCTGGGATTCCCCAGGCTCGGCGCGTAGGCCGCCCCGAAATCCACGCACCTGGCCGCCCGGGGCCCGGCTGCCCACGCCGAAGCGGCCCACGCACACGCACACGCACACGCACACGCACACGCACACGCACACGCACACGCACACGCACATGCACACGCACGCGCACACGCACACGCACACGCACACGCACACGCACACGCACACACACACACACACACGCACACACACACGCACACACGCACACGCACACACGCACACACGCACACACGCACACACGCACACACGCACACACGCACACACGCACACACGCACGCACGCTCGCGCACGCGCACGCGCACACGCACACGCACACGCAAACAAACACCAGCACCAGCACCAGCACCAGCACCAGCACCAGCACCAACACAAACACAAACAAAAACATATAAACACAAACACAAACACAAACAACAACACAAGCACAACATACACAACCACAACCACATCCACAAGCACACACACACATACATATACACGCACATAAACAATCACAAACTCAAACCCAAACACAAACTCAAACCCAAACACAAGCACCGACACACACACACAAACACAAGCACACACACACACACACACGGTCAAACTGAAACACAACCACAAACACAACCATAACCGCAACCACAAACACAAACACACACACAAACACAAACACAATCACAAGCACAAAGACAAGCACAAACACAAGCACACACACACAAACACACGCACACACACACACACATACGCACACCGACTCTGGCCATCCTCAGCCCAGGATTGGCGCATACGACGCCCTCTTGGCTCGGCCAGGAAGGCATACGCATGCATCGATCCTCGGCCCAAGGTGGACCTGGCCAGATCGGTCACCGTGCACACTTCGTTTCCCCAGAAACTGGACCCGGTAACTGAGGCGCGTCGGCTTGGAGACCAGACTCGAGCTGGGGTTGCGTTGCGTGCCATGCCCCCGGGGAAGTGGCCCCGAAACACGACTCCCGCCCAGAGCGCCCGCAGCGTTGGCAAGCGTGAGGCGCAGTCCGCACCCAGCCCGCATCTGGCTGCACTGTGTCTGTACTTTATAGGGGGAGCTGTCCGCCGAGTTGACGCTGGAAACAACATTGAAGGGGCCCCGGGACACACAAATAAATTCACACAAATACAAGTATTCCCCATATTTTCCTATATTTTCTCGGTTTTTGTCTTCCCACCCACTTCCCATACCTTCCCATATTTTCCTGGGAATCGACGATTAATTGTGTCTGTGTGCTTTTTCCCCTCCTGAAACATGAGGTCCACCAAAGTGCCCTGAGACCTTCCATCATCGGTCGCAGCATCAACCGCAGAGCCAGCGGCATCAGCAGAACGCGGCCCAGCAGCTAGCAGCAAGCAGTAGCATCAGCAGCACGCACAACGGCAACCATCGACACATCAGCAAATACTCAAGCGATCAACCGACGGCAGCCAGCACACAATACAAATCATCAACAGCTACCGCTAGCAAGCAGTCGTAAGAAGTAAGGACGAGGGAGAGAGGAAAGGGAGCAGGGACAGGAGGGAACTGCGGGTCGGAGGGCACGCAGGAATGACATTGGCGACGCATGCGGGAAGGGAGGCTGAGAAAAAGATGGGAAAAGGGGGATTGGCGAGAAGGGGAGGAGTAAGATAATCGTCAACGGGCGATAATAAAGTACCCCCCCTTCCACCCCTCTATGTTTTTAATCCCCGACAGCAGGAATCTATATGTGGGGAAGGCGCGGGTGCCGAACTTGATAATCCACGGGAAGATTGCGGGGATCGAAGTTGCTACCATATCAGGTTGGTTAAAAACAACATCAAACACGCTGAGCATGGCCATGATGGTCTCGCCGCACCAGTTTCCGCAATCACGAGCGTGTGGCAGGGCTGTGGGATTCTCGCCAGTTCATATTGCCCACGTTACGACCGTGCGGAAGGGCCACGGGGTTTTCATGTTCTTAACCGTTCCCGGGTCAGGAACGTGTGGCAGGGCCATACGGACCGATTGGACTTTGATTGCACACGCGTTCTTCGAACAGGCAAAACATTGGAGTTAGGTAATTAAGTGAATGACGTTTCTCGCGCACCCCTCAAACGGCTCGTGGCCCTTCCTCCTCCTCCTCCTCCTCCTCCTCCTCCACCTCCTCCTCCTCCTCCTCCTCCTCCTCCTCCTCCTCCTCCCCTCTGGCCCCGCAACCACCCAGGCCCAAGCTTCCCCGACCGACTCTCCGAGTCACCAAGCTTTCGAGCCTCTTCCAGGCGCCGAGCCTCTTCGCCTCAGGGGCAGCGATACGGGGGGATAGGCATGCCTATGCCCCGGCGATGTATCGCCGATGCATACGCATTGGGGGGGGCATCGACTTGGAATCTGCGATACATCGCCGATGCATCGTGCGCGCATCGCCGATGCATCGGCGATATATCGCCGATTCCAAGTCGATGTCCCCCCCAATGCCAATCCGCTCACATCGTTGTCCCTGTCTGCATCGCGAGCCCCAGCGGTGGCCCAGCCCGCCGAGCGCGCAGCTGCCGCGAGCCTGCCCGTCGAGGCGCTGGAGCACGCGGCGGCGCCGAGCCCGGGCTCGAACGATATTCTCGAGCGCATGGCCAAGCAGAACGAGAAGATCATCGAGAAACTGAGCTACATCGCCGAGAAAGTCAGCATCGCCGAGATGCGCCAGTGCCAGTCGAGCGCGCAAGGCACGGATGCAGCGAGGATGACGAGCTGCTACTTCAAATCCCGAGAGCGCCCTGTGGTCCTCGAGCGCCCAGTAAGCCGTGCTGGAGATGGTCTACCAAGGCGGGCGCCACAAGAGCATCGAGCACGGCCACATTTTCAGCGAGAACCGTGGCGGTGTTCTTCAAGACCTACGTCGAGAAGAACGAGAACGCGCGCGACATCTTCGAGAACCGCGGAGAGCGCCCCGAAGACCTCTTCTGGCTCAGGCCGGCCGTCAAGGTCAAGCTGCAGGAGCTCGCCAAAAAGACAGACATGGGGCTTGGCGCCGAGAAAGTCGAAAAGCTGACCCGCGGCGCCTACGCCGAGCGCATCGGGTTAGCCCCCCCCCCCAAGCATCCCCGCCGGGCTCCTCCACCTCCACGAGCTACATAGTGCTGCCGATCAGCAAGAAGTTCGAGCCCGCCGAGAGTGCCGAGATGCTCTTCAACGTGATCCCGCGCAGGGCCCGAGAATGCGCCAGGTGGCGCAACGAGACCTCCATGGTCTCGATGGTGACCGACGGGGTCGCCAAGGCTACGACCCCAGCCATCCTCAAGCGGCGCTGGCCCATCAAGAAGACCGCGGACATGAGCTACGAGCTGCGCGAGCACAGCCACCAAGACAAGCGCGCCAAGCGGGGCTACATGAAAACCGCCAAGCAGCAGAAGCACGAGGAGGTGCATCTCGAGAACCACATCAAGCTGCACTTCGACATGCGCGCGTCGACCCAGGAAGAGCACGGCAAGCTCAACGCGAACAAGCGCGACGACGAGAGGAGCCAGGCCGACGCGAAGGCCGAGTCAGACCCCGCCTCGTTCATGCTCGCGGGCGCCTGGGCGCGCGAGCTCCCCGAGCCAAGCGCCCCATGTTTTTCGCTGCGAGGGCGCTGTTTCGGGGCGCGCGCTCGAGCCCCATCTGCTTTTCAAGGTTCGAGAGAGCACCCGAGCACGCGCGAGTGACGTTCCAAGCTGCGGGGTGCTACACCCCCCCCTCGCCGAGTGATCCTCGAACAATCATCAAGGAATCACGCGGGCTCGATCCTGCATCCTCGGATCGGTGATCCGGGATCTTGAGTCCGAGCATCTTCCTTCGGGCACCTTGGGTCCTAGATCCGAGGGCCGCCAAGCTTGGACGCGAAGATCTCGGGTTCGCGATCCGGGGATCGAGGATCGAGCCTCGGCGACCCCCCGATCGTCACAATGCCACCGAGCAGGCTCGACCCTCCATCCTCGGATCGAGGGTCCGAGATCTTGTGTCCGAGCAGATTCGAGCACTTTGGGTCCTAGATCCGAGGGTCGCCAAGCTTGGACAGGAAGATCTCGGGTTCGACGGCCGAGGCTCGAGGGCCGAGCATAGGCGGTAGTAGATCGCCCCCCCCGCCGCCCTGGAGCCCGCGCTGCCACCCAGCAGGCTCGACTCTCCATCCTCGGATCGAGGATCCAAGATCTTGGTCTCGAGCATGTGCGAGCACCTCGGGCCTTAGATCCGAGGGTCGCCAAGCTTGGACCCGAAGATCTCGAACTCGACATCCGAGGCTCGAGGACCGAGCCTCGGCGATCGTAGGTCGCCCCTCTCGCCGTCCGAACCCGCGCTGCCACCGAGCAGGCTCGACCCTTCACCCTCGGATCGAGGGTCCGAGATCTTGGTCTCGAGCATCTGCGAGCACCTCGGATCCTAGATCCGATGGTCACCAAGCTTGGACTGGAAGATCTCGGTTTCGACATCCGAGGCTCGAAGGCCGAGCCACGGCGATGGTAGATCGCCCCTCAGGCCGCCCTAGAGCCCACACTGCCACCGAGCAGGCTCGACCCTCCATCCTCGGATCGAGGATCCATAATCTTGGCCTCGAGCATCCGCGAGCACCTCGGATTCTAGATCCGAGGGCCGCCAAGCTTGGACTCGAAGATTTCGGGTTCGACATCCGCGGCTCGAGGACCGAGCCTCGGCGATGGTAGATCGCCCCTCCCGCCGCCCTCGAGCCCGCGCTGCCACCGAGCAGGCTCGATCCTCCATCCTCGGATCGAGAATCCGAGATCTTGGTCTTGAGCATCTGCGAGCCCCTCGGGCCCTAGATCCAATGGCCGCCAAGCTTGGACAGGAAGATCTCGGGCTCGGCATCCGAGGCTCGAGGGCCGCGCCCGGCGCTTCCCTCGCCGTCTTTGAGCCCGCGCTGCCACCGAGCAGGCTCGATCCTCCATCCTCGGATCGAGGATCCATAATCTTGGTCTTGAGCATCGGCGAGCACCTCGGGCCCTAGATCCGAGGGTCGCCCAGCTTGGACTCGAAGATCTCGGTTCGA